CCAATCGTCCTTTCTCCCCACCCGACTTCAAATCCCTCAGCGCACACGTGCGCACGAGCCCCCTCCTTCCCCCGCCTTCCCTCTCCTCCCATGCCCCCCTTCCGGATTGGCCCCCAGCTCCGCGCACGTGCACGTGGAGACGCTGGCGGAAGCGGCTCATCTGGAAGAAGGTACCGCACGTGTCCTACGAGCAACCCAACGAGATCAGCTATCTCGTGTGGAGCAAAAGGGCAAAAGCTCATTTGATGTTGAATTCCAGTACGAATACAAACTTTGAGAGCGCGGCCTACCCATCCTCTAGCGTTCAGGACTTCAAGCTAAAGGTGTCAGAAAGTTACCACACGGGTAACTGATTCATGGCCGCCATCAGCATCATCAGCATCAGCATCATCAGCATCAGCATCATCATCGTCATGTTCATTGCCGCCATAGTCGACGCCATCATCAGTCGCCGACGTCATCATCAGCTCGGGCATTTAATCCAGGGACCTCGTCGTTCCACCGGGGGAAGACCCTTTATGGGTTCATTGAAGACCTTCCTCGACTAGGAGGAAGGACCTTGATTGCTCCCGGCCGACCGGGAGCGTGTTATTGTCAATCTATCTCCCCCCTACTAATCCCCTCCCTTCCTCTCACCGGTCTCTCTCAAAGATCTTATCTTTTTCCCCATCTCTTATCTCCTCTCCAACCCCCCTTCTCTTCTCTACCCTCCCACCTAATTGGTCGCATCATCCAAAATTTCTACTACGTGTGACACGTATCTTCCTTCTTTGTGTTTGCCTGACAATGTCGCCTATTCTGCCGTTCAGAATCTCAATCTAATTTGATAGGATTAATCCTCATTTTTTTTTCCACCAACGCCGTGAACATAATTAATTCCGGCACTTTTATTCAAAAGTTATGCGAATTTATTTAGTTTATCAGATTCTTTTTGTTATTTAATTTCAAAATTCAATTCCATTTCAGAAATTCGTGAAATAAATTGTGGAATTTATTAAATTTAATCCTTCTGAAGACAAATCAATTTCGTTGTCTCCTCTCCCGTAGCATTACGAAATTCTGCAATTCCTTTTGAAATTTCTTTTGAATTTCTTTGAAATTTCTTTGAAATTCATTTTAATCTTGAAACAAGTCAAGAAATTTTATTCATCTGATATAGACAATCCTGGAATTTCTCTCAACTTACTTCATGCAGCTATCACTAATTCTTTCTGAATTTTCATCGTAAATTCTTAATTTATGAATTAGTTTTTTACTTTTATTTCAAATTGCCTTTGAAATTCTTTTAATTCTGAAAATGAGGAATTTTCCATTTTATTTAAAAAAAAAATCCTATCAACTCATCTCTACATCTTTCATCATCTCCTCGAACTTTCGAAAATTTTTACGAATGTTTTTGAAATTCCTTGAATTTTACTTCAATTTATTCTAAATTCTGAAATTACGTCCAAATATTTTCGAAATTTTATTTTGAATTCGTGATTCTCTTATGCATGCTCTCGTCTAGACCCCACACTATTCTTTGAAAATTTCCTCTCATTTTCTTCCCCGAATTGGAAATCGTCCTCATTTTCCCTCACTCTGACTTTGAATTCTCTTGATTTAATTTTGGAAGTTCGTCAAACCTCGTTTATACTCGCTTTCCTCTCGCAGTTCCTTACTCCTCTTTCTGCGTACCAACCTGGCTCCCCGTGACACCCATCAGCGCGCACTCCAAAATCGCGCCCGAGA